CACACACACACACACACACACACACATCTACTTTCTTATCACACGCGCACGCTTACACATCGATGCGAAATTAGCACATACAAATACACAATGCAATTCGCAAAATACATAAATAGATACATAGTCATTTGCATAATATTGTACAGAACATGAATCTACTGACATAAAAATGATGTTATTAAAATTTTCTTAAAGATATTTTACATTTTAGACTCAGATGTTGGATGTTGTATGTCTCAAGGGTTGGGGAAGGGAGTTCCAAACTGATAGAGCAAGGTGGGCAAACGATCTTTCAGCTAATTTTTTACCTCCTTTTCTAGGAACTCTTTAAAGATACTGATCGCCTGATCTAAGTGATCTAGATGGAGCATAAATCTGGATTAGATCACTAAGATATGAGGGAGCTTTGTTATTGACATATTATGACATAATATTGCAATTTTATGTAACATTCTAGCTGACACGGGGAGCCAATGCAATGCAACGTTCTTAACATGTGAGTAAGGTGATTTCTCTTCTTTTTCTTTAGTACAAGCCTAGCAGCATGATTTTGAAAACGTTGTAACGGGTGAAGAGAGGTATTTGGTATGTTAGCTAGTAAAGCATTGGAATAATAGATGCGTGAAAACAACAAAGATGACAACGAGCGTTTTCAATGAGTGTTCATTCAAAAACATAAACATATGATCAATTTTACGCAATTCACAAAATAGAATGACACAAAAATAATTGATATGGTGTTTCACAGACAATTTTGAATAAAAGTACACTCTTATCTGTAAAATACAGTTTTTCATTTTCAGTACAAAAATGATCAATCTCTGTATATGGCTTCGCGTACCGCTATTTCACCACTTTCGGTCTAATGTGCTTTCTTTTTCAGGACATCAACGACACCAACTGGCACTCTTGTCTGAAGCATGTGGCTCGTCTGTCTGCTGTGTTAAAGGAAGAGCTGTTTAGGCGACAACTGCTCACACTTTACTCACGGGTTGAAATGAAGCTTGTGCCTTTGCTCGCCTGCATGGAAACACGAAGTGTCAAGATGGACACAAAACTTCTTGTCCGCTTTTCTGACCTGCTTAAAGTAAGCATGATCGTGCTGACATCTGTCTTTCCTCATGGATAGTTATCAGACCCGAGAGACAGACTCTATTCGTATACCGCACATGTATTCTTTTTAATTAATAGCTGCCATCTCATCACTTTTCCGATCCAGCGGCCATCTGGGTTCTAGCCCTTCGGCCTGTCGATATGGAAAACAATTTACAGGTTTTCATCTGTTGTGTTTTGTCGCAGTATACACAAAGTATTTCCGATATCCTTACGGATCCTATTTAAGTAAGAACTCAGTGGGATATGTTGTGTTCGCAGGCGAAAAATTGTGACGTGTTCTCATCTACTCAGGGAATTTAATCCATCTTAGGAGCAGTCATGTGTGCAAATACAGCTCTTCCAGTTTTGCCCAACACCCATCCACTCAGTCACTGTTCCCTCGTGTTGCATTTGATTATGTTCTCGACTGTCTGTTGTGATACTGGGTTTTGAGGTTGTATCTGTAATGCTCCCTTCTTGACAAGGGTGTCTGCTCTGTAGTTTCCTGGGATATTGTTGTGGCCAGGTATCCACTGTAAAGTCAGGTCGATGGCATAAGTCTGTATGAAGGTGTTAATTGTTAGAGCCACAGATAGGCAAACTGGGCTTTCGAAATTCATGTTTTCTAAAGCTTGGAATACTTATTGTCCGTTTGTGAAGACGACAGTGTCTCTGATTCTGTCTGGATATATAAGGAAAATGTTGGTCATGTGAAGGATTACTGCTTAAACGGCGATCGCCTCAGTCTCATTATTTGTACAAGAAGAACCACAGGCATCAAATAGTTCTTAACGCATCTTGTCAGGATTTTTACGTAAAAGCCTAGTTGCCATTTCTGAATAATAATAATAATAATAATAGTAATAAT